CCCGACCCTGTGCATTTTGGGCTGGGGGAGGGGCGGCGGTGGTGCTCTGCTGGAGGGGCGCCCGAGATTATTGGGGAGGCGGAGCCCCCCCAAACGAAATTTTGAGGGGGCTCGGGCCCCCTCAGGCCCCATGGAGTCGGCGCCTATGAATGGTTGTTACAGTTGTGTAAAGACATGAGAATTCCTGTCAAATGTCCAATTCAGATTATGACTTCTGAAGATTGTAAGCAAAGCACGAAGCACTTGCAATTGAAGCTGCAACATACTAGAGAATGTGTTGAGAAAGGACTCGTAACGGTGTCCTACATGCCAGGTAATGAAATTCCTGCTGATTTATTGTCTAAGGTTGTTCCGAAGGATCAACACTGTACCTATGTACAGAATTGGGTTTGTACTGATAATGTACTGACACGCTGCCCAGTGGTGTTCACAGAAAGGGGGAGGATGTTAGTTTCTGTTTCTCACTGCAGCTGTGTGGAGTCCCAGGACTCTGTTTAGATTCCAGAGACCTTGCAGTCTCACGGGAAAGGGAGACGGGATGTGACGTTAGTGATTTCCTGTTTCCTTTGTTCCTTTGTTCAGTTGCTCTCTGCTTTCATAGAGAGAGGATGTCTTTTCTGTTCTGCGTAGTTTAGAAATAAAACCCTTTACAATGTAACCAAACCTCTCGTCTCTTCCCTGTGCTGGGAACCCTGCTGGATAGAATGGGCTTGAGGCCTTATCAAAGGCTCAGGTCATTATACACGTCGGAGGCCATTTCAAAGGCTCAGCTCGGAGGAAGATGAGGCCTTATCGGCTTGGCCGAGCAGAGATTCCGACAAAGATTCACAAAATGTTTAGGGGTCTGCGTACCCCCAGGAAAAAAGCACTGGATCTAGCCATCATCTTTCTTTTTTCTTTTACAAACATTTTATTGGTTTTGAATGAATCATAGAATTATAGAGTTGAAAGGGACCCCAAGGGACATCTAGTCCAGTCCTCTGAATGCAAGAAACTCAGCTAAAGCATTCATGACAGAATGAACCACGCACATCACAAACACAATAACAACAGTTATGTAGAAGTGTCCATGTACTGTTCGAGTAGGAACCTAGACGGCTGACCAGTGGAATGAATAAATGTTTACTCCCAGCATCTAGTGCTTTAACCAAATGGAAGTACAATCTCCATATTGATGCAGTGGGAAGGGGGTGGGGGTGGCGAAACTGCCTGTCCAAAGAGAAGAAGAGAAGGAGGAGTTTGGATTTGATATCTCGCTTTATCACTAACCTAAGGAGTCTCAAAGCTGCTCACGATCTCCTTTCCCTTCCTCCCCCACCACAAACACTCTGTGAGGTGAGTGGAGCTGAGAGACTTCAGAGAAGTGTGAGTAGCCCAAGGTCACCCAGCAGCTGCATGTGGAGGAGCGGGGAAGCGAACCCGGTTCACCAGATTACGAGTCCACCGCTCTTAACCACTACACCACGCTGGCTGATGTTGTTTCATTCCCCCTCTTTTTTTTGTTAGGGTGTATATTAATTTCCCAATAAAAAACCTCCAACTAACATATCAAATCATAATCCAATAAAAATAAAAAACTAAAATAAAAAAGATCAAATTGTCTTCCGAATTGTAATTTTGATTTTACGACTTCCCATAGCCTGAACCTCGAAGCATATCCAAATCTCAGTCCTGCCTCTCATTTCATTCCCCTTCTAACAACTCTGCTGTGTTGTGTCAAATGTCCATACAGGTTTATATGCCATCTTTGATCAATCCTGCCTGCAGTTGTTGGTCCACCCTGAAGCTCCAAATGCCTCATGGAATCATAGAATCATAGAGCTGGAAGGAAACCCCAAGGATCACCCAGCCCAACCTCATGCATTGTTGGAATCACCGCTGAACAATCCCTGGTGGATGGTCCTCCGACCTTTGTTAAAAAATCTCCAACGAAGGAGAGTCCACCACCTTCTGAAGGAGTCTGTTCCCCCATCAAACTGCTCTTACTGTCAGAAAGTTCCTTCAAATGTTTAGTTGGAATCTTCTTTCATGCCATTTGAATCCAACCTGGAGAAGCAGGAAATAAACTTGCTCCATCTTCCATGTGGCAGCTGTTCAGATAGTTTAATATGGCTATCATATCCTCTTTTCCAGGTTAAACATACCAAATTGCCTCAGCCATTCCTCATGATGCTTGATTGTTCTCCTGGTATATACATTCCAGAGTTAGACAAAAAAGATTCATACACTTTCTGATACTGAAGAACCACCTGCTTCCATAAAATATTGCCTATAAATGATCATACCTGAGCTATCTGGAGTCAGTCATACTGAGGACCCCTCAACTGGATTCACAAAGGTTATTATAAGATGGGTCAGCACCACTCAATAAGGTCCTGAACATAGAACAACCCCCTGGATGTCCACCCCTTGTACTGGAGATATTTGTTTTGATCATGAAAATCCAGAAATGGAATTAGTGGAGATTTCTGAGGACCTACAGTATTCCTCCATCTCTTCCATGTTTCTCAGGTTGCACACAGAAATGACATATTTATGTTGTTCTGTATGTAATACTGTAATAGACTGCTTTAACAAATGATGGTCAAGTTTCTTTCCTAATTTTAATCATATCTCTGGCCTAATAAAATCTGGAACTTTTGATGCCATGTTATTCTGGGTTTCCAGTCCTGAAAAAGCAGGGATTTATTCAGTGGTGGTGACCCTTTTTCAGCCTCAGGGCCATGTTTTCTTATCAAAAGCTTTCTGGGAGCCACATCCCAGAGGTGGTTGTGGCAAAATGGGTGTGGTCAGACATATACCCTATAGGAATACTCGTCTCTACAAATTTGCTCATACACATTTGCTCCTGCACATGACTGTGGCATGATGGGAAGCCTCGCTGCTAAGCTTTGCTTCTGTACATGATGCTGCACAAACCGTTATTAAGATATTCTCTCATCATCCCAGAATGTTCAGTTAAGTTTGAGGTCATGAAAACATTACACTCTGACCTGTTCTTAATGCATAGTTGACCACGTCTATTGGAAGGTAATTGTTTAAGTCTTGGTATATTAATCATTAGTTATACTTAAATTAGGAGGTTTTCGTGCCTGTCTAGTTCTGTGCTCCCTTTTCCAGCCTTTAATCTATTGGTGATTGATGCCTATATGTAACCTTTGCTTTGTACTTGTGCTAACCAATCAGCAACCAGCACATACGTGGCAATGCATGTAATATTCAATGAAAGAGACTCCTCGAGACATGCTTGAGAGGTGCCTCCCACATGACGCTCGCTACTCGTCTGTCGTTTATTCCAACCCAACAATACCCCTCTTCATCCAGGCAACCAAGAGCAATTATCATAGTTCCAAGACAGATGGCAGTTGGGTAAAATCACTTGGGGAGAGTGCAGAATGGGGCCCGTGAGGGATGTGGCCTGGGCAGGGTCCTGAGGGCAAGACAGAGCTGCCAGGAGGCCTGTACAGTGGTACCTCTGGTTATGAACGCTTCTGGTTACGAACGCTTCAGGTTACGAACTCCGCTAACCCTGAAGTAGCTGCTTCTGGTTGTGAACTTTGCCCCAGGATGTGAATGGAAATTGTGCACAGGAGGTGAGTGTGCAGTGGGAGGTTCCATTAGCGAAAGCGCGCCTCAGGATAAGAGGCTTAAAAACGGACCTCCGGAACGAATTAAGTTCGTAACCAGAGGTACCACTGTATTCAGTTTCGAGGTATGAGGTTGGGGGGGGGGATTCTCATAGTGATTTCAAGAACGGAGCCTCATACTAAATCCCCAATCAGTAGGACTTCATTCAGTAATGCATTACATTTCTATTAGGACACAGACTATACAGCATAGGCAAAGTATGCATAATCTTAGCTGTTCATCCTTTACCCAACCACCTTCTGCCTCGTCTGCACTTCACCATCTCTCATCAAGCCATAGTTCATGAAAAACACTTACCCAACCCATTTGATTTTAGTATCTGTGTCAGAACCCTCCTTGTACCTTATCTGGAGTTGTTTTTCTCTTTAACAATCGGCCATTAATTTCCCCTTTAACTGGTTTTTACTAGTCTTGTGGTCAGTTCCCATTCCTGTGTATGTTACGCTGGCCTCACTTATTAATGGGCCTAACCTGGGTCTTTTTTTCAGCCAGAACTTGCTGGAACTCAGTTCTGGCCCCTCTTGGGTGGGTGCCATTGCCATCCTAAGAAAACGAGGGAGGTGTTCTGAAACTTCTTTTTCTAGAAAAATAGCAGAAAAATAGCACTGGACCTAACAGTTGCCCTACCTCAGTTCCCCATTCTTTTAAAAAATAAAAATCTGACCATTTATATTCATCAATGCATACAGGTATCACACTGTTTTATTCTCTGCCTGCCAACCCACCTATCTGGTATTCCTGCTCTGCCCATCACAGGATTCTCTGTGAATTCCCTCTAGCTGTGAAGTTGTTGTCTCTTTCAAACTACCTTCTGTTCCACTCTTCCCAAGTCTGCCGGATATGTAGAATGCTGGAGAATCCTAAGCCTGGAGGTGGGATTGGGGTCCGCTCTCCACAGTCCCCCTGACTCTGTAACCTTGGAAGAGATGCTCCAGGTCTGGGCAGTTTGGATGCCATGGGAATTGGGATGGAACAAAGCTCTTTCTACAGTGAAACAACCCTTCGAGATGTCCACCCTAGCGCTTCCACAGAAACACTATACATTTTATTTATATCCCGCCCTCCCCAGCCAAAGCCGGGCTCAGGGTGGCTAACAACAATAAAACAGTACAACAGTACAACACAACAGAACAATCTAAAATCATTCATTATAAAATTCAACCAGAGTGTAGGATGGAGGGGCTCACAGCATTGACACCCCCAGCAGGTCTGGCTTCTCCATCTGTCGCAGCTTTGGCTCCGGCACAGAGGAAGCCGGTCTCTGGGTCTCCCACAACTGTCTCCGGGTCTTGCTTTCCTAGTTAGACAGCCCCCCCCCCCAGTTAGCCTGGCTTGCCCCCCCCCTTTGCTGCAGTTCTTGCAACCCAGCTCCTTCTTTGGAGATGCTGAGGAGGACACTCAAGTGGCCAGAGAAGGCCCTTGTCTTGCCAAGAAACTTGTCTGTGGGAATCGTGCATCCATAATGCTATGGAAAGGGTGAATGTATTCTAGAATTCTCTGGTGTCACCAGAAGAGGAAGCCGTTCTTTTCAGTCAGGTCTGTTATCAACTGCAGAGGATGAGTAGCCTTGGGAGACTCTTGGGGAGATGGAAGTGATGAAAGGACTGAATCCATGAGGGAGAGCTACTTGCTGTGAGATGGGGGAACCTTCGGGCAAAGGCCAGCAGAGAAGGGATGCTGTTGACTGCTGGTTTCTGTTCCTCCCCACTTTCCCAAAGGGCGTAACATCTGAGGTCCTGTGGGAGGAAAGAGCGTCTCAGGGTCAGGGGCCAGTCTGGGCCAAAGCGGCCCTCCGCTGCCCCCACCACAGAGTCCCTGGCTCTCGTCTATATTATTGCACTTTATGTGTTGTTTATGTGCAAGATAAACATTTGATAATGTGATAAGACTATACAGAAGAGTATTGTTTATGTGACTGCACACCCAGTTACGTCTTGTGTGTTTGTCCATTCCAGGAACAGCATTCCTGACCCAGATTTTCACAAGAAGTCCCTCAGATGATTCCCCTTTCAAACAGGATACGTGAATCTAAGCCAGTAGGGTCCTCCTCTCTGGCAGACGGACAACCCCGTCCCCAAAGCCCCACTTCCCAGACTTCCCCATGGGGGTCCCCCACACCACCCATCACTCACCAGGATGTCCTCAGAGCCCCCTGAGCTGAGCTGCCTGGCAGTTGTGAATCACCTCCGGCAGGTACAGCTGATCTTCTTCCAGCAGCTGAAAGGCAAAAGTCAGGCTGTCAGTTCCTCACGAAGGGAGGGCTTCTCCACACCCCAGAATGCAGAGTGGGGGGCAAGGAGGGCAGGTCTGAGTCCCTGCTCTGGTTCTCTCCAATGCTCTCCTCTGGGGGAGAGATGTGCAACCGCAGCACATCTGCAAAGAGAAGGACATGGGGACAGGTGAGTCCTCCCTGAGCACCTGGCAAGGCTATTCCAAGAGTTTTCTCCTGGGTTCCAAGCCCTACGGCAGCTGAGGAGGGACATCCCAAGCCTTGGGGCCCAATCCTGGCCTCCTTCAACCAGAATGTGGCTCCCCAGGCTAACAAGATGGTCAATATCCGGTTCCACTCCACCCTTTTAAAATTTAAATCTCAAAACAGATCCTAACTTTCAGAGCATGTAAACCACATGAGTAGAAAGACTTCTGCTCCACTCACAGAAGTAGGACTATGCTTCCTTCTCCTACCTGTAAAGTAAACGTCTATGTAACAAAACCGAATCGACCAAAGTCTGCCTTCTTCCGTCAACCTCAGCTTCGCTCTTCAAGCCCAAAGACAACACTTCCTGTAGTGATCAGGTGGGATTGCTATGAGGATTGATAACAAATATAGAGTAAGCCTTCTGTGTCAGCAATGAAAGCATTGCGTTGACTGGGTTTAAAGTATTTTCATATGATTCTTGATCAATCCACTCCTCTGCATCCCTGTTCCATTTCTCTTTCTTCACAAGTCACGTACCCACTTAGACAGGCAGGCGTCCTGGGTCATCAAAGACAGGGGGCAGTTTCTTTGCTGTAGCTTTTCTGATATGTTAATCTTAGGCTGTTAATTTTAGGGCCAGGAAACAGGTCTCACATAAAGGTGATAATGATTGTTGTCCTCCTGGCCATCCTTCTTATCATATGTATTGATTGTTTATGACCTCCGGGGTTGCTGAATGCACTCCTTTTAAGTTTTCATTCATTTACCCCCCAAATATGCACGCTTAACTAGTGTTTGTAGTTTAACTTTTCCCCACATGGGGTCTGTTGAAATGCTCAGAAGAAATCTGATTGGTTCTTATGAACACTCTGTAAAAGTTCTTTTGTGAATAAAACGACCTGGGCCGAGGGGTAGACAGAGAGAGACACAGACAGAGATTATTATACGCACCCTTCCCAGAGTCTTGCTGGTTCAAGCCTCTGTGTGTATTCTTGTTAATCAGAGTTGAATCCTTCCTTTACTTTGGGAACGCCTCACTTCCCCGTCCCCGGGCGAAATCCCCTGGCCTTTCATTGGTAGAGCTGCCACCACGCCGGTAGCGTTTACCTCAGTGCTGCGCAGGGACTGACTGAGCGGGCGGCGAGATGCTTTCAGCCTCGGACACTTGGTGGGTTCTGAAATGGCCATGCAGGCCAGATTCACGACCCTGGAGGGCTGGATTCAGCCCACGGGACATAGTACGAGGACCCCTGGTCTTCACTGACTGGCAGCTCCCCAGAGTTTCAGGCAGGGATTTCGTCCAGCCCTTGCAGGAGATGCCAGGGGCTGACAATGGGACATTCTGCATGCCAAGCAGATGCTCTAGGGCTCCCCATATTTCACTAGCCTTTCAATGTTATGCTATTAGCAATCGTGGAGATTCCACCTGCCTCTTTCGAAAGGAGAACAGTCACCTGGTCAATTTAATTAATTAATTAATTAATTAATTATAATTTATTTATACCCCCCCAATCGGTCTGGGTTTCCCCAGCCACTCTTGGCGGCTTCCAACAAAAGATTAAAATACAATAGTCCATCAAACATTAAAAGCTTCCCTAAATATAATAATAACAATAACCATCCATTTTCAGTCCATTGAATTAGCAATTAAGCATTTCTGGACAAGGGAATGGCATACTTTTGTATATTAGTATAAAAAGCATGCATAAGAAAGTATTACTCATTTATGCTGAGAATGGGATTTATTTATTTTGAACTTCGCTTGCTTCCTCCTTGGCAATGGTTTCAGCAGGGCTAGAACTCAGGACCCGCTGCCTTGAGGGACATCTAAGAGCAGCTGGGCAGGGAAAGGTCTCCCTTGGGAGGTGGTGGATTCTCCTTCCTTGGAGGTTTCTCAGCAGAGCTCGGACGGCCATCTGCCATGGATGCTTTAGCTGAGATTCCTGCCTTGCTGGGGGTTGGACTAGATGACCCTGGGATCCCCTCCTATCTCTCCACTCCTGAATTCTAGGAGGAGCTTCCTTGCCTCCTGCAAAGCCCTTTTCCCTGCAAGCTCTTCCTCTGGTTTCTGGCCAAGGGAGGGAGATGCTCAGAGCCCAACAAAGAGCCTCACCCCCAAAAGGATATCTGGGCATTGGCGGAGCCAGGGGGGCAGCTGCCCCCTAAATGCATAAAAAATAATAATAATCTGAGGTTCTGCCAAGCGAGAGAGGGCTGAGCTGGAGGGACTGGCCTTGCAAGGGTTAAAGGGAAGTGAGCTGCCTTCCTAGAGAGGAGAGGAAGCAAGGGGGGGCAAGTCCTCCAGAGCCAAGGCCCCTCCCTCCCCAGTCCTTTCCTGCAAGGAAGGGGGGGGTGTTGCTTTGTGTCTCTGCTGCAAGGGCTGCCTCGCTGCCCCCTCCTGGGATCTGGTGAGTCTCCTCTCTCTCTGGGATCTGGTGAGTCTCCTCTCTCTCTGGGATCTGGTGAGTCTCCTCTCTCTCTGGGATCTGGTGAGTCTCCTCTCTCTCTGGGATCTGGTGGGGGTCCCAGGGCTGCAGCAGGGGAGGAGGCCTGGGGGGGGGCTGATCTGCTCCTGCAGGGGGGGACCCCAAGTCAGGGAGGAGAGGGTCCTGCCAGGGAGGGGCCAGGTCTGCCACGCTCTCCTTCCTGCAGATCAGAGGATCCCAAACTCATTTGGCCCTCCGCCCCCCCTTCAGAAAAAGATCATCCTTCTTTAAACAAAGGAGTCCCTGGGACTTTAACTCTGTGTGACATCGCTCAGCGTCATTGCACAACAGAGGAAACATCTGCAAATGATTTTCCAAAGCTGGAGAAGGAGGTGGACTAGCCCCCCCCTAAAAAAAACCCCCAGGAAGGAAGGGAAGGGGGGAGAGAGAGGCCAGGAATAAAGAGAGGGATCCCAGCCCATAGTCTGGCTGCTGCATTGGGGACCAGTTTCCCAGTGTCTCCCAGGGCAGCTCCCCACGGAGGCCACTGCAGCCATCCCCTCGCACCCAGAGCAGGGCATCCCAGGACCACATCCTCTCTCTCCCAAAGGGATTGTTGCTGGCAAAGCAGCTGGAAATGGGCGCTCCTAGTCCCTGAGCCTCCAGGGACCTTGGCATCAATGGCTGTGTGTGTGAAGCCATCTACCTCTCTTTTAAACCAGAACCAGTGAAGGCGGTGAAGGTCCTGTGTGAGTGTCTGGAAGCGGTTGGAGGATGGATGGCGGCTAACAGATTGAGGTTGAATCCTGACAAGACAGAAGTACTGTTTTTGGGGGACAGGAGGTGAGCAGGTGTGGAGGATTCCCTGGTCCTGAATGGGGTAACTGTGCCCCTGAAGGACCAGGTGCGCAGCCTGGGAGTCATTTTGGACTCACAGCTGTCCATGGAGGCGCAGGTTAACTCTGTGTCCAGGGCAGCTGTCTACCAGCTCCACCTGGTACGCAGGCTAAGACCCTACCTGCCCACGGACTGTCTCACCAGAGTGGTGCATGCTCTAGTTATCTCACGCTTGGACTACTGCAATGCGCTCTACGTGGGGCTACCTTTGAAGGTGACCCAGAAACTACAACTAATCCAGAATGCGGCAGCTAGACTGGTGACTGGGAGCGGCCGCCAAGACCATATAACACTGGTCTTGAAAGACCTGCATTGGCTCCCATTACGTTTCCGAGCACAATTCAAAGTGTTGGTGCTGACCTTTAAAGCCCTAAATGGCCTCGGTCCAGTATATCTGAAGGAGCGTCTCCTCCCCCATCGTTCTGCCCGGACACTGAGGTCCAGCTCCGAGGGCCTTCTGGCGGTTCCCTCACTGCAAGAGGCCAAGTTACAGGGAACAAGGCAGAGGGCCTTCTCGGTAGTGGCGCCCGCCCTGTGGAACGCCCTCCCATCAGATGTCAAAGCGATAAACATCTACCTGACATTCAGGAGACATCTGAAGGCAGCCCTGTTCAGGGAAGTTTTTAATATGTGACATTTTAGTGTATCTTTCATCTTTGTTGGAAGCCGCCCAGAGTTGCTGGGGAAACCCAGCCAGATGGGCGGGGTACAAATAATAAATTATTATTATTATTATTATTACTAATACTAAATTACAAGGGAGGTGTCTTTGGCCTCATCCACTTGGCCCTCAGGGGTTGGCCAGATACATTCCTGGCCCTCGGAGCAAAGAAAAAGGGACCCCACCCCAGGAGTCTGTCTGGAGAGCGGCAGAGAGTCCCAAGTGCAAGAAAAGGAGGCAGAAGCAGGGGAGTGGGGGTGGGGGGAGAACAACTCCTGAGGACCCCCAGGTGAGGACCCCCACTAGAGCCAAGCATCCATTATTCACAAGATACAAATGACTCCCTTGTCAGTCAGTTCTGACTTCATGCATTGACTGGAAGGCAGCAGAAACCAGACTGATTAATCTCACAGAAATCCCTTCAGCTGCCTCCACATTTTGCATTGCTAGAAGGCTAGAGACATATTTCTTCTCCTCCAACTCTTCTTTCCCCCCAAAAAAGATAGCTCATGGTCTGGAATGCGGTGCAGTCCAGCCCTAGTTCCCAGCAAGACGCATCCATGCTTGCTCAGGGAATCTTTTTCTTCTACTTACCTACAAATTCTGTAACAGAACAATGTATTTGCTTTGTAGGATTTGCTAGAGCTTCTCATTCAGACAGACAGAACTTGGCAGAAGACCAAAGGGTTCCTTCCGATCTCTCAGAGGCTTCCTGAGAGCACAGATGGATGAGCGAGACACAGCTGGCCCTGGAGCAGAAAGAGGCCATGCCAACCAAACTGGGAGCAGTGGGAAATTCTGGGAAAACTCTGTGCAGAAGATCCTGGGTGAGGAGGACACCCTCCGCTCAGAGGTGCAGAGCCAGCAGTTGAGGCAGTTCTGCTGCCAGGAGGCCAAAGGACCCCGAGAGGTTTGCAGCCGACTCTACCACTTTTGCCACCAGTGGTTAAAGCCAGAAAGGCACACAAAAGCTGAGATGCTGGACCTGGTGATCTTGGAGCAGTTCCTGGCTGTCCTTCCACCAGAGATGGAGAGCTGGGTGAGGGACTGTGGAGCGGAGACCAGTTCCCAGGCGGTGGCCCTGGCCGAAGGTTTCCTCCTGAGTCAGGCAGAGGAGAGAAAGCAGGTGAGAGAGACTTTCCTCTGGATACTCCCAAGGGGCTCCAAACAGGATGGAGAACATCCCATAATGCTCTACTGTTGGCCCATCCGTTTTCTGGGAAGGCATCCATGGAATGAGATGGAACAGCCTGAATAATTTTGTCTTTGTCATTCTTTTACTAATATTTCTCCCCATTCTCTGTTTTGAATCCTTGTTTCTTTTTCAGGGAACGGATCTCTTTGCAGAAATGGACCTGGATTCCTGTGAGGCAGAGAGGCCTCCGTTGGACACCAGAGAGAGGCCACTGGGTAAGGAGGAAGATGGTGTTTCTCTGTTTGGTCTCATTCTGTTGGTTTTCCAACTCATCTGAGGGTTCTTTGTCACGGCTAAAAATTGGCAGCTGTTTCTTTAATGCTTAAAAAGCTGGGTCAGCATGAGTCAGCGGCCTGCACCGGGTTGTATATATAGAGTGAGAAATGTTAGTTTGGTTTGGGTTGGTTGGTTGGTGAAAGCTGGTAGTGTTGATGTGTGTGAGAGATTTTGACCAGCTTCAGCCCATCTGAAGCTGATACAGGCTCGTCTTATCTTGAGCCCAAGCAGAGTAGTCCACACAGCAGAAGGATAAGCAGTATGTGCCACATTCTCAACTTTATTTCCACTCTATGCTGAGAGAATACAAACATGCATCTTGCCTCTGTGAGAGCAGAGACGCAACCTGTCTCTCTAAGAAAGAAACCGAGAGAAGAGTGAAAAACAGGAAACCAGTGTACGTCACATCAGTCTCCCATTCCCGTGGGAATCCAACAGTAACTTGGAGTGTGGAATGCAAAACAATGTCTTGTGACATACATTCGCTGCTCAGTGAGGAAGCAGAAACCAACAGTGTGTACAGTTGGTCAGTCGCTTTTGTGTACAGTTGGTCAGTCGCTTTTGCAGAAAGGCTTTTAAGAATAAAAGCAGAAAGCACTCTGCAAGGATACTCTTCTTGTGGACTCTTTTATGCCAACAAGAGTCCGAGAACCAGGCTGAGGCAACAAAGGGAGGTCAGAACATTTATTTATTTTCAAACACTGACAGGTTATGGGCCCAGTGTTTCTGAGCTTGTGCAGAGTGCAAAACGACTGACAGCATCTGAGCAGGGAGCTGGTGAGTCCTGGTGGTGTGTGGAGCAGTTGGTGGCAAGCTGTAACTGTCTGCAGTGACGCTGGGGCAGCTAGGATCTGAGGATCAGGAAAGCACTCAGCATCGGCTACTGGAACAGTCTGAACTCCCAGAGGACCACAGTAGGCGACTCACAGAGAAGCTACACCAGTACTCTGCAAGGATACTCTTCTCGGGGACTCTTTTATGCCAACAGAACCTTTTTTTTTTTTTTTACAAACACTGAT